CCTTCTTCCCACACCCAACTATAAATCACACATTCCAAGCCAAACAGAAAGCCGCCATCTTGTGAAGTATACCGCAATTTCTGGGGGCTTCAGTTCTGATTAAGGTCCCAAATTATGCCGCAGACACAATAGTAACTTTGGTTCTTCCCAGTTCTAAAAAAATGATTGACACACTGCCCGACCCTCTCACCCAGGGGCAGATGTATCTATGATCACTACGTGGTGCCTAGTCTCTTGTCTGTGCAACTTTATTCTCTCACTCAAGATCAGTGCCCTCCCAGTCACCTGTCATTTGGGACAGAGAACTAGACACAGCGGAGAGTGGAAAGGAGTTTTCAACAAGAACGTAAACCGTCATAGACTTCCAGGAGTGTAAAACGTTTCTTTGTGATCTAATAATACATTCGAATTTTAGTATCCTTGTATGCTGCTGAGCCAAATGAAGAATTAAATAAAAGGTTAAATTCTCAAGCAGCATGGAGGTGCAGTGGATTGAACTGCTGCCTAACTGTTTTGGAGCCCTGGGTTCAATTCTGGACCTGGGGTGCTGTCTGTGTGGAGTTTGCATGTTCTCCCCAGGTTCACAATGGTTTACAACAGGGTGTATCCTACTTTGCACCTGCTGCTTATAAGTATAGGCTCTGGCTCCCCCTGCCACCCTGCACAGGGTAAAGCAGGATAAGAAGAACAGACAAGTACAGAACTAAAAACGAATTTTTACCAAATCAGCAGAGCCTTAACAGGAGAATTTTCATATTTATTCTGAATCTGGGAGAAACACGTTATCAGATAAGCTTGCTAGTTCCCACGTCATTAGGGCATTAGTGCAGTCCTCATGTGACACTCACAGATGAAGACTAATTCTTTCATTACTCAAAGAACCTTTCATTTATTTTTGTTCTGCTTGTACTACCTGGAAACAATTTGCAAGCAATTTCCCTTGACACTTCTCAGCAAATTCTTTTCCACTATTTTGAAATGCAAAAAAAAAGTAAAGCCTTCTTGCTCTTGATGTTTTCTCATTTATTATTGAAACTGAAGAAATTAATATACGTAATTTAAAATATATACACATATATCTATGTGGAGCTTGTATGTTCTCCCCATGTTCACATGTTTCCTCCAGGTGTGCCAGTTTCCTTCCACAGACCAAAGAACTTCCTGGTTGGTTAACTGACTTAAACAGGAAAAATTGACTCTGATGTGAGTGTGTGTGTTTGTGTCTGTGTGTGTCCTGTGATGGACTGGCCAGGGTGTATCTTGCTATGCACCCACTGCCTGCCAGGATAGGCTCCAACTCTTCAGCAACCCTGAACTGGATGAAGTGGTTAGAAAATCAATGGAAAGATACATATTTATATATTTTATATTTTATTGTATTTTATTCTGGAAACTTGCAATAAAAAGCTGCTATTATCATAAATAAGAAGAATAAACTAACAACTTAAAAGGACTAGATATTATCTTAGCTCCAAGCATATTTTGTGGGCCACTACTCAGCATATTCCTGACTAACATTGGTATGTAATGTCCTTGACAGTGAACTTCTGTAAAAATCTAAAGAGCTCTTCAGAAACCTGAGAAAAATAGATTTCTCCTCCAATCACAGACTAGGCGATGAGAGCAACTGACAACCTGATGTCAGCTATTGTACTAGGTGCCAAGACCTGTTTACTTTTATCACAGGAAAGGTGAAAACAGTTTTAAAAGAAATAAAAGTGTGAAGGATTTAAATGTGTGAAGTGGCAGGTTGTGGCAAAAAGGAAGCAGAGTGTAAATCTTTCACCCTGAAGCCTGCAACAGCTGGGTAAACAGAATGCTGCACAGAGTTAAAATACTTGCATGGCTAACTAGTCCTCTGTCCTATTTAATGCTCTGTAGCTCCTTTATGGCCTTGAAATTCAACACAGCCAGAAGAGCCAAAGGTTACAATCGGTCAATGCTCTTTTCAGAATTAGCCATTATGGAATTCAGGTAAACTGAAAGGTTGATGACTTGCTAATATCGGTTTCTGCAAAGAAAATGACTAAAAGAGGAACCTGCTAGGAATTATTTTCACGCAACCATTGCATGAAATTACATTACTGAAAAATAGATAAAATAATTACTACCTGTGACTTCTTAAGATTCCGATTTTGATTCCGGTAAATCTGCCTGTGCACATTCTGTGTGATTGCTAGACCACATCTAGAAAACTAAATTAGTAAAATGAAGAAGAAATCCAATTTCTCGTAGATCATAGGAAGATCCAGTAATGACCTTTTCTAACTAAACCCCACAACCCCATTTTTAGAAAATGTATAGCAAACAGACTACCTACAATTCCTGAAACTGGGTCCCCACTGGTTAATGTTACTACTCTTGAGCTGTGAATTCACTCGGCCATGGTGTACAGAGACACCGTGCGAAGTCAGAGATGGTGCATGCTGTAACAGAATGGCAAAAGAATTTTCTGATCGATAAAAGTGGCAAAGGGTTTCGTTTACCAGTGAGCAGAGCTTTTCCACGGCCTCCAGAAGGAGCTCCTGGTGGCCAATCTTTTTCACCCCCAGCCCTTCCAGATCCTTGTAGGACAGCTGCAGTAAGTCCTGCCCTGTCAGGTGCCACTCTTCAAAGGGGTACTGCTGCAGGCTGGGCTCCAAACCTGAAAGCACAGCAGCCAAGCATTGGCAACATAATTCTGCAAAGAATGCATGCTATTCCTACATGCCCATCCTCGTTAGGCACACTAAGAGATTCCACTGCAGCACTGAGCTGAATTTGGAACAATCCCATCTTGAGAATCAGCCCACCTTCAGTAGGTATTTGATTCTATGCATGAGGCCAGGTGGTGCAGTAGGCAAGGTATGCACTGTGTGATAAGCAGGGTCTGTTTAAGCCCTGGGCAATTCAGCACAGCCAGTGAAACCAAAGGCTACAGTCAGTCGATGCCCTTTTCAGAATTACCAGTTATGGGATTCAGGTAAAATAAAAGCCTGCTGACTCACTGAGACCTAATCTGAGCATTACTTTTCGTTTCTGTAAAGTGCGCACCTCTGAAGCACTGGGCATGACCTCAGGCGCGCTACTGCAAATGTAAATTTCACCCCTTGGTCTCTGTAAGCCACTTGAGATAAAATGCAAAATGGCTGATTATTAATAACGTTCCCGAGTAAAAAGCATTTTCTATTACTGGAGCAGAATCTACAATTAAGCATCTGAAAACAAAAAGTAATACAGAGAATAGTGGGAACTAGTGGGAACTCACTGCCAACTTAGGAAAATGCTGTACCACAGTACACTTAACAGCACAAACAACACCGCCCACATTCTGCGCATGGAAACTCGTCCCTTGTGTGAGAGGAATTCAACCCTAAACAAAGGCACCACCACTCCCGGTTTTTGTTAGTCTATTTTTTTATTGTTTCAACAGGAGCATTGCAATCAAAGGGTTTTAAACAATGCAGAAAAAATAGGATGTGTGATAACTGGAATCCATTTACTCAACAAGCCCCTCAGAGCAGACTCATTTCAGTATCAGAAAGCTGTGCCTTGGGCTGACTAGCACCATGCATTTCAGCAGTTTACTTCCTCATCCTTTTTTATCTTTGCCTAAAGCTCAAGAACGTCGAAAAACAGATAAAGAACATTTTTGGGCCTACACCGGAGCACAGCTTCCTTTCAGCCACCTTTCTATTGTTTGTACACAAACAGTATGACTCTGAGCCAGGGCAGGCAAGAGAAGAAATATTTAACTGGGCCTATTATGAATTTATATTGTTATAACAGGGGAAAGTGTATTATAACGTACACTGTGTTAAATTATAATACACAACAAATACTAGGTTACGCAAGACCAAGTTATATTTCTTAAGATTGCAAAAATCGAAATATTAGATGGTAAACTAATATTAAAATAGTTCTGATAAGATACAGAATATTCAACTACAAAGAGGTCAAAGAGCTGAAAACAAAGAGCCCGAATGAAGACATATCCTACAGTGGTCAGTCAGGTCAAGATTAACAGGGTTCAGTTTGCCCGTTCTTCAGTCTTTAGAACAGAAATATAAAGATTACATGGGGGTATGATAAAGCAAAATCCAAGTTTGATGGGTGTGTTTACAAAAAAGTGGGGACACTCACATTGCAAGGCATTTGATGAATCAACTGTTACCCTGGTAAAAAAAAGGTCTTTCACTAATGTGGCACTGGCACATACCAGGAGATATATCAGTTTCCCACCATAGTAAAATTACCACACTTTGGTGGACACATGAAAAACCTGCGTTTTTAGCATGATACAGCTAATAAAGTCCCATTAAACTTTCCAACAGGTAACAGGTAACTAGTAGCTAATTGATGGGAGGATCTCATCCAGCTGGCTCTTGAAAGAAGCCAAACTTCACCACAAACCATGTCTGTAAATTGCAAATGGTCTGCAGATCAGAGTTTGCATTAAAACTAGACTCAAGACAGATTTTTCACAGGGGAATGAGACCCCCCCCCCCCACACACACACACACACACAAATGAGGTCACATTATATAAAAAAGTAAATGCAATTGACAAGGCCCACGATGAATATTATACCAAGACAGAGATACAGAAGCTAAGTGTCCGTAATCACGTACTGTACCTCCACGTGTGCAAAGATGTTGAAGATCATTTACTACTTAAATAACAAACCAGACACAATATCACAGTAAGAGCTGTATCCCTAAAGTGCTGTTACACTACCTTCACATTACATTTTAGTGACAAAAAAGTCGTGGTATTAAAAGATAAAACAGAAAACTGAAATTGTTGGCAAGGAATTCTGAAATAAAACAAAAACACTTTACCAGTTGTTTTTTTTAATGAAACATGGCCCTATATGTGTTTTGTAAATTAAAAATGATCTACTGTATGTGCTTTCTTAAACAATTATGGAATCACTTCTCAAAGGTTTGAGATTGATTATAACTTAATTTTCAATGCAGTTTTAAAGAGAGTTATGTACAGAAAATGAAACAGGAACAGGAACTTACATTTCTTTACGGCTTTAGGATTTACGTTTGGTTACTAAGCAACAAGGACTTTACTTGAGCTAGCTGGATTGGCGAAGTTTCGACTTTGTGTCTAACGTAAGTCAAGAACGGGCTAAAGACAGATGCTTTTCAAAGTCATGTTTACAGCAAAGCAGAATTCAGGTGCCTTCAGGTGGGTATGTGGTTAAAGGTTACCAGGACGTTCCAGACACAAGCTGCAGTTCTAGTCCTGAAACAAAGTCACCTTTACTGAAGTTATTACTGAAGTTATTGGCCCCAGCCCTTCAGGTGACATAGGAACTGGGGTGCAATTCAAAGTGACTTTTTATCAGCTGATTGATTGACGCACTGATCACACAACAGGCTTTTTAAAAACAGACCAGTATATCCTGAACTAAAAAAAAACTTGTTCTTGGCAGATAACCCTTAGAGAAGTTAAGACCTATAATGTGGAAAACTTTCATGAAACCTTTAACGTCCTTTAAACATTAGCACGTCCAAGGCAGATCACCAGTTTCATTGGTTTCATTTTAAATTGTAGATTTCATCCTATGAATCAGAAGGCACTGGGTACCTTTACCCTTTTCGGAATAAATTACGGACTGTGTCGATGAAATTTGGGGTGCAAATTCAAAAATAGTTCCGAAAAATGAATTCCTTAGCAGTAACCACAATAAAAACGTGGGATTTATAAAAAGTCTCCTAAATTTAAATAACGCTGAATAAAAAGCTAGTCCTCATTGAAGAAAAATAATCTAGTGCATATGAGGAAAATACGACCTGTTAACTTAACCTCAGTTTGGGTTAAAATGTGCGGGTTGACACAAGGAATTAAACTAAATTCTGTATTCAAAAACCCAATTATGAACTTTGAACACATACCACATGCTATCCTGCTGGGCAAAAAAGTTCATGTTGACATTCGTGTTGCTCGTACTAGCGTTTCCCAAATATATTTGACAAACAATCAATAAAACGTCCGTATAAGTGTAAAGCAGCTGGGGTGCTTTTTAAATTTAAGAGGGGCGGTTGCTCGCACGAAATTGAAAAATTAGTACTCGCCAAGTGTCTGTGCGCTCCCTGCCTAGTGCGTCTATCCTGAGTTTACTGCACCGACGCCTGCGCATAACTAAAAGCACTTCCTCGTTCCAGTCCCAACGAGAACTGTCCCATACTGTATGTTTTTGCTGTTTTAGATCGGTTTTCCTGTCAAGTTACATGTCACGATTTTGTAAAAAAAATAAATCAGATCCCCACATCCAGCTCTAACTTACCTTTTAGCCAGTCCTTAACTCTGTCGTGACTCCAGGACGCAATAGGCTCCATATCTTGTGTCCGGGACACTTAAAACTCCCCACTGTATTCCTTACCAGACCCTCCCGAAAGTCCTCAGGGAAAATGCCTTTCCCACGGCACTCCCACCAGCAGGTAATCCACACAGGCTGACCAATTGTGCGGTATGTTACGCCCTGTCACGTCTCCTTACAGGCTGGAGCAATTCTCCAAACCCTTGAGTTATGCGTTGAGGGAGGGAATTGAAAAGTTACTTTTCCACCTTTCTTCTCTCTCTCTAGGCTGTTTTCTAGCCCCCGGCTAGAGAACGCGCGTAAGTTTGGGAACAAGGGTTGGGTTTTATTTACATGATCAAACCTCTGTCTTGAGCGAGCTGTTTTGATTTGCGTAGAAAATTCTATTCTGATTCACTGGGCTAATACTGTAGTTTCGCGACTGTGGGAAAAAACTCAACCTACTAACAAGGCTTTCGTCTCTTCAAGAAATCAAACCAGTTAATAAAAGTTTTCTTCAATAGCCTATTATTATTATTATTATTATTATTATTATTATTATTATTATTATTATTATAGCGTTAGCTTCGCCGTGTAGTATTGTCAAGCGCCTGGCATACTGTCATTCAACAAAATGTACGGGTAAACCAATGATTTATTTGATTTTCGGAAAGAGCACAGGGCTCGTAATTACCAACCCCAAAAGCTTCTCAAAAACCTTACAGTATACTGTTTTAATGATACTTATTTAACGCTCTTAAAGCAATTGGTATCCACATTTTCCCCACGAAAGCGCCAAAGAAGAGGCACACCTTTATTGTTACTTTGGTCTGAGGCTGCCGCAGCTCTTTGAGGGAACTGGGTTGAGCATAGCTCTGGTATCACCAAGGTTCAGGGTTCAATTCCTGTCTAATCCCACCGAGAAAGTGGGCTACACGACGTTTATATTATCGCCTGTGTGTGGTGAAGGGTGATCGTGAAGCTAATCTGCCTATGGGACAGTATAAATCATCGCGCATGCTGTAATTCACCCTTGGTCCGGATAATGATTCATTCTATTTATTCTCAATCCCCAGAGATGACGGGTCGCTTTATATACAGCAGGGAAATATTGTCGACCAATAAGGAGCAACTCTCACCCGGGTGCACAGCACCCATTATGTTCCGATACAATAGGTGGGGAAGTCTTCTTGACCTACTAAATTAGAAGGACACCTTTCAGGTCTGCCAGATTGTGTAAACTCAGAGTGGAATTCAGGCAGGACCACAAAGTTGACACACGCAGCTCAGTGTCAACAGCCAGCATACCCGGGACATGGATTTGACAACGCCGGTCCAGAGGGGAGTATCACAACCTGTGCTCGTGGATTGCCCTAGTCTACAGGGCAGCTAAGGAATGGGATTCTTACAAGGTTATCATGAAGGAAACCCTGCTGAGATGGAGCTCCACCTAGTGTTGGCTTTGTTTTCCTGTCGGTCTGTTTTCAGAACAATGTCATGAGGCTTAAAACACTCAAATCTCTTTGGAAAAGACCATGTGCTATGCAAATAAATAATAATATTGAAAATTATAGGTCTCACTGCCATCTGAGTAGTTTATTAACCATAAGCTTATCATTGTGTACTCCAGTATCATTAACAAGGGGTCAGCCGTTAGAATTAACACGAACCCTTTCCAAGCTGAAGAGAGAGATACTCTAGACATTTCATTTTTTTCGTGCTGTCTTTCTTTACAAAACCGCCTCAAATGCTTGCTCAGATGTTTTCCACTGAATCTGTGTTTTAATTACCGAATTAATTCATGACTCTGTGATTGATAAATGCATATATCATCAATTTCCCTACGGGATTAATAAAGTATTATCTATCTATATATTCATTACAATATCTCTCACAACAGAAATATGTTTACCCCCCTCCCTCACCCACCAGACTCTGCTTTTCCTCCTTCACACTCCTCTCTGACTCCTAACCCTCCAGAATCTCCTTCCCTATACTGTGTTTCCTCTTCTCAAGGCTGTTTTCCCTCTGTTTCTAAAAAGCCCGGCATTGCACGCCTCCTAAAAAAATACCCTTGATCCCTCATCCCATCCAAACTTTCATCCCGTCTTCCCCCTCCCCTTTCTCTCTAAAATCGTCTGGCGGGCCGTGGACTGCCAGCTCTGCACTGCCCTCGTGCAGCCCTCACTCACAGACTTCAGTCTGGCTTTCATTCCGCAGGTTCAGCTAGGTTTATTTTCCTCTCTGTTATCAATTCTCTTCACTCCACTCAAGCTGTCTCCCTGCCCTCTATCTCAGCGCTTCTTGATGTCTCTGCAGCTGTCTCTCCATGGATTTTCATACACTGATGCTGCTCAGATTTCCTTCTCTTTTTCCTCTGATACTCATGTCTCCTGATTTATCTCTGCCTGTCTCACAGTCTCCTCTATGGAACTCTCGTGCCAGTTCTTCTTGAATTCACAAAAGCCTCCCCTTCCTTACCAGCTCTTCTACTCAGCTCCTAGTCCAGGCCCTGGTATTCTCCTGCCTGGACTAACGTAACTCTCTCTTCACTCTTGAGCCCATCTGCCCACTCTAACACATCCAGAATCCTGCAGATCTCCTTGTTTTTTCCTAATTTTTCACACACTGCTGTGTTACAGTAGTTACTCCACTGTCTTCCTATGGTTGCATGCATCCAATTCAGTACCCCCTGTTCACTGTCACACCCAGTCTCCTCCTGCCTATCTTCAGGGTCCTATCTCTCCCTATACCCCCTCTCCACTCCCCCTCTTCCGCCAGACTTCCGTTGGCCCCTCTGCATTCTCCCACTGCCACAGCCCTTCATTCTCCACCCTTGTTCCTCAGTAATCAGAAGTGCTCTGTCCTTTCTGCTACTGCTCAAGACCCACCTGCTCAGACAGCACCTGTGATCTCTCAGCTCTCAATTTAGTTGTTTGGTCACTCTTAACACTGCATTGCACCAATGTGCTTAACTTTTAAACTGGCAATGTGATTTGCTTCATGGTCTGAATCACTGTGAACTGAGATGACATACCATTACGCTGTTTTTTTGTTTCATCCAGCACAGCTCCTGCACTGCTCTTCACGTTTCTGTCAGACTTATTATTAATAAGTATCCAATTCAGGGGTGTCGAGAAGTCGGAACCCTTCTCGGATAGCATCAGTGTCACGATTGTAGTCCCTCCTCCTTAAGGGTGCTCCGGCTCTTTTACTTCTGTCTTGATTTTGTGCACCTGCCCCCAGTTCCAGCCTCCTATCCAGCCCACCTTAAAAGCCAGATGCTCACTCTGTTCAGGGCTCTGCATTGGTTCCCGTACCAAGCGAGTCCGGGATCTCGAGCACCTGGTTCCGTTCCCCCCTTGTCCCCCCCCCCACATCCACCGGATCCCGTTCCGGTTTTTAATTCTGTTTGTCTTCGTCTCGGATGGACTGCCCGGCTTTGGACATTTGCCTCGCCTTGGATTTCCCTATGGGCTCTGCTTTGGATTGTTTGCCCCGGACTCACCCCCCAGAACACCTGCTCACCATGGACACGCCCCCTAGTTGAATTCCTGAACCCTGCATGCTTTTTCCCCCCTGTGTTTTCCTCACTCCTCCCGGATTGTGTTGTCTGCATAGGGTCCTGAAAGAACGTTCCGTTACAATCAGGACTGGATGGGACGCTAGTCTATTGCAGGACACACACAGACAAGATCACAGTCACACCTCAAGCTCATTAACCTACCCGTATGTCTTTGGACTGCTGGGAGGGAACCAGAGCACCCAGAGCAAATCGACGTGAACAAGAGAGTGTAAAACGCCACATAGATAGCACCCCAGGTCCTGGAACTGAACACAGAGCCCCGCCAGTGTGAGGCAGCAGCACTAACCACTGTTCCACACGCTGCTCCATCAGCCTTATTATCATGCCATTCATTTTTCTTGTAAACTTGTTTACATATTTGTTGTATATGTCCTTGAATAACTACCATTATTGTAACTACCATAGCTATAAATATTAATACAAGGGCTGTTATGTGTTACTCGTTTTCTCTCATTGCTTCTTTTTTTTCTGGTAAAATGACATATCTATCAAGAGAGCTTTGTCTGCCTCCCCCGGTACCAACATTTACCTCCACTGTGGTCTCAGCTGTCTGACCCTGCCAGGTGTTGCCTGGCAAGTTGGGAATCGCTCTGAAATTCCACACATTCCTCCTCCCGTCGAGACAAGCTCGGCCTCAGCACAAAGCCTTTCCAAACGGTTTCGGACTCCCAGCCATCAGAGGCTCTGAGAATGTTTCGTTCCTGCCAGTGCAAAACTGTGAAGTGCAGATCTTTTGCCCATCCGGCTACAGCTGCTCTTTCATTTGGATTGCCAGGTTACAGCTCATCTAAAGCAAAAGCAAGAACGAGAACCTGCGTCATGTTTCTCTTTTTTGTGCAATTGTCTGAAGACATTTGATCGCTCTGATGCAGACGAGCCCCAGTGCAGTTTGTCTCAAAGGGTACCTGCTTCTAAAGAGCAGGAACACCCATAATGATCAATGGAGCAAGCAATTTGTTCATAGAACTCTGGGCCTCATTGGTTGAATGGTCATATATTTTAGGCTTCAAATAATTACGTAAGGTAACCTCTCATTAATCACAAATTGTTTAAGGCTTTTAGAAAGAGCTGATTAATGGCTACTTATAAATCCTGCTGATTAGGGACTAGCTGAACATATACAGTAGCTTTGCTAATATTATTATTTTTTCCAACAATAATTTCCTCCCAGTTATCACACAAATGACTTGAAATCTTCCACAGTATTTTATCCCTAACTAACCAGTTTTCTGTATTGCCCTGTTTCCTACATTTATCCTGAAAGGGGCTCGGTGCAGTTGGACCCCTACCATGCCTGTGGGTGTATATTTTCAGTTTTGACATGCAAAGAGGCAGCCTCACTTCTTCCAGTCAACACACAAAAAAAATTGAATTTATTCCAGATAATACTATTTGAAAAAGTAACTGCAGAAACCTGACAGAGAGTCTTATTAGCCCAGTGGCATTCAATAGTGTTTCCATAACAAATAGCATTCGATATAACTCACATCATTTCTAGTCTGAAGTGAGGAGCCCGCAGTACACATTTATGCTAGCTCGTGGCATAGCCCTGGGAATCCTGATCTGGCTGAGTCATAACCCTCATGCGAATGAAGATCCTGAGATTCCTCGAGGCTTTCGGTAATGATGGAATAATCTCTCAACATCACTGAAATTCTGTACTGGATTTCAATGTATTTTTGAAACACAAAAATATTAGTTTGGTGTAGCATTGGCGGCACAGTGTTAAGCATTGTTGCCTTATAGTGCCAGGGCCCTGGGTTCAATTCCTGGGGTGCTGTCTGTGTGGAGTTTATATGTTCTCCCTGTGTTTGTGTGGCTTTCCTCTGGGTGCTCCGGTTTCCTCCCACAGTCCAAAGACATACTGGTAGGGTAACTGACTTCTGGGAAAATTGGCCCTGGCGTGAGTGTGTGTATCTGTATCTGTGTGTTGCCTGCGATGGACTGGCATCCTGTCCAGGGTGTGTCCCACCGTGTGCCTATTGCTTGCCAGGATAAGCTCCGGCTCCACTGAGATCCTGAATTGGAAGAATCAGTTAGAAAATGAAGGGACAGAAGATCAGTTAGGTCTCACTGCGATTCATTATTTCATTTTTGTCATTCTTTTTTCTTCTGTGCAATTTCTGCTCAGACCGGTTTGCACTCAGCTCTCAAGACTCGAGAAATATACTTAATAAAATAACGTCACAGATGGGAGGATACCGTTGTGCCAATCTGTCCTATTTGTTGCTAACAGTTAAGTTATTCTGAGGGTCTCGTCCAGTTTTCATCAAAGAAGCCTGGTTATTGGCTTCAAACCCATTGCAGAATACCTTGTTCCTGACTCCCACAACCTGTGTCAGAAAGGTGCATCCTGTCCTCATTTGAATTGCACTTGCATGTGCTCTGATTTGTGTGTTACTGGTGGTCTAGTCCACTGGGGTTTTGGAATTCTTGAATCAAGTCCCTTCGCAGTCATCTCTGTTCAAAATGAAAAATTGTGAATTGTGAATTGTGGGAATCTACAACACACTTCCCAGGCAGGTGGCTAAGACCAAAGCTCTTGGCATTTTAAAGAACGAGCTGGATGAAATCTTAGTTTAAATTTACTAAACTATCAAACTCGGAAGTTGGATATAGTTTGATATTGCTTGCATTCTTTCTTATGTTGTTGCTAAAATTCTATTATGTTAAAATATTATTTTAACTTTTAATTTTTAGTGTATAACATTCCTGTGTATAAGACCAGGGGACCAGGGATGTACTGATCACAAATCTAAATGTGTTATTACTAATGTATTGTACACATGTAACATAATATCCCTTTAAATTTCTCTTTGTAATTTTTAACTGCATATAATTGCATATAGTTCTCCCGAGTTGTCTATATTAAATACCAGAAGGTGTTCCACCAGGTTTGATTTTATACAAGTTATTTTTTCATTTCCTCTGCTACTTCTACAATCTTTGCTCATCTTCCCATTTTCTTATTTCAGCTGTGAACTTGACTAGTTTACTGACTATATGCCAATCTAGTTCACATAGGAACTTTGCTGATTTATGAAAACTTTGGACTCTGTTTTAGTAGTCATTTCTCCATCCAAACACAAGCAATGTGTTTGATCTGAGCATTAATCCTTTTATTGGGAACCTCATAAAAGGGCTTTTAAAAATCTAAATATAGAATAAAACGTGTTCATCTTTCATCCATTGCTGGTGTTACAGTACTTCTCCAAACAACTCTAAAGTGCTTTAGTTAGCAAGACAAACCTCTTGCAATCAATGTCAACTATCCCTTATAATCCTACTACCATACAGTCAGTCCTCTAGTGTAATCTGATTATATTCTCCATTGGCTTGGGTTCCTTACTCTTCTTGTGAATGGGTGCTATATTTCAATTTTCATTATTTCTCTTCTCTTGAGAGATTTTTGTTAGCAGTGTATAATAAAACCACTTTCTTTAAGTATGATTAATAGAATAGCAGAAGGCCCTGCTATTTATTAATGTCTGCCTAGTGTGCCTACATTGTCTCTTTTATTATAGAGCTTTGTCTTTTCTCAGCCTGAAGGGTGTTGTTGAAGATTATTCCCTGGCATTCTTCTAGCATCGAGAATCGACACTATTACATTAGCGAAGATGTGATGTCACAGATGCAGGAGCTCCGGAATTTCTGCAGAACCAGAGCACATCGCTTCAGTGAGCAATTTCCACTGGTGAGGATCACCATTGGAAATGTCTGGGTGTTAACAAGATCTCTCTTGCTCTACATCATACTGCTGGCTAGGGTCCTGTTATTACAGCACGTTACTGACACCAGTGATGTGACTCTTACCCTCGAGTAAGCCCTCGTTATAATTTTCTGTTGTAGCAGTTTTCTACAACTACTACTACTAATAATTGTTCATATATTCGTTATATTAATT